TATATATTGGAGGTCAGAGAGGGCACTGGATCTCCCGGAACTCTCCTGGAGCTATAGAAGGTTGTGAGCGACCATGTGGGTGCTGGGAACTGAACCTGAACCCTCTCTGTAAGAGCACCAAGTCTTCTTAACTAGCCATCTCTCCAGGCCCCTGCGGTGAGGACTTTTAAATAATCCGAATTCTGATGGTTGGCTTCAGCAGCTGGTGAAGACCATATAGTCCCCCAGGTTAGTGGAGCTGAAAAAAAACATGAGCAGGAACAGTTGGTACTTGAACGACTCTGGGAGTAGTGAGGTGCGTGTGCCTATGCGTGCAAGCATGTAAGCGTGTGTGCATGTGTGTGCTTACCATGAAAAGTGAAGGTGGGCGCTTGACATTGGCCAAACAAGGGGAGAAGCTTACTTTTTACTTGAGTGGAGTCTTTCAGGGTCTCACCTTTATACATTTAATTCAAGGTATGGACTGTATTAGTTGTGTAATTGTCATGTTCTTTCCCTTTGGATAAAAACTCTGCCCAGAATACCAAAGAACAACGGAAGTAAAAAATAAACTCACCTTGGTTGTTCCAAGGAAAGGAACCAGAAAGCTAAGAAAGTCACTTTGGCTTCTAGGCTCTACCCTCATTTCTCATGGAATTCTCTGGGACCTCCTGGATCTGCTTGAAGCCCACTGAGCTTAGATTTCTGTCTGTGATTTTAACACGGCACGGAGACAAGAAGGCAGATTGGAGACATCTATTTCTCGTGTGAGTAACCCCCACTTCTCTGTGGTTTCAGTTACCTGTGGTCAGTGACATCCATGCCTTGATAATCCTCCTTCTGACGCATGGTTAGGAGGTCAACGCCAGCCTAACACTGCTGTCCAGTCACTCTGAGTTATTTGCTTCATTGTGTGATAGCACACAGCATCATCAATAGGTAGACAGATGATGGTAGGTAGGTAGGTAGGTAGGTAGATAATAGATAGGTAGGCTACATCCACATAACTTTTATTGTGGCATGCAACTGTAATTGTTATATTTTATTTTTTAGCTATTGTTAATCTTTTACTGTGCTTCATTTTTAGATTAAACTTTATCACTAGTAGATATGCATAGCAAAAGGTGTAGTCCATTAAGCTGGACACTATTCATGGTTTCAGGCATCTGCTGGGAGTGTAGAACTATTCCTTGCAGGCATGTAGGATTGCTATCTACCTGAGGGCCACTGTATCCACTTCTCTTGGAAACTTTTTACAACTCAGTCTTTACTCACAACATAATTCCATCCTGCCCTGAATCCCACAACACTGTTTCCACCTAATTACTCATAGCAAGGCAAAGAAGATGCTCTTCTTCCCCTACTTAAACAGGAGGTAGCGACCTTCTCATATCACTTGCTGTTTCTGGGCAGTTAACTGGAATCGCACTGGGTGAGGATAAAGAGCCTCGTAATCAAATCTAGTTTCACCACTCTCAAGCTGGGGGGCCTTGGGTAAGTCAGCAGACCATGCTGAGACTCTCCTCTGAAAGGTTATTTCTAGTTCTAAAATTCAAAGGCTGTGCCATGAGTTGGGGTAAAGTTCTTATAACCTGTAAAGCAACCTCAAATTACAAGGAGTTACTTCCTTCCAAGACAACAAGTCACATGTTTGAGGTGTTACAAGGTGTTACCTTTTGCTTCATTTACTTGGTAAAGCTGAAACAAACGCTGGCACCTCCACTTGAGCATAGCTACGCTGCATTATGGAGAGTTGAATGTCTCTCTTCATCATGTTAACGGTGTCAACGGGAGCTTTCTTACTGGCTCTCTGGCTGCTTGTTTATAAATATTATGGAGACACAGTTCCTTGTGTGAGCGTGCCAACAACAGGGATGCACGAGAACTCAGACCAAGAGCAGCAGCAGCAGCAAATCCTTCACCATCTACGGCCTTTGCTTGGATTTTTAGCCAGATTCTGCTCACTGACTCAGGAAGAGCTTCGTGGAGATGCTGCTTTATTCGAAGTGACTTCAGCCTGTCACAAAACAGTCTCATAAAATCCATGTCTTGGCTTAAGCTGGGAAGAAATGAGCCAATCCATCAGCCCAGGAATGTGACCGGCCGTTTGACCACTTCCTCAGGCAACTAAGAGGGGGTGCAATCTACTCAATTTATGGGGCGGTGGCAGTGAGCAATGCACTCCTGAAGGCACAGCAAATGAGAATGCCCTGGAACCTTTGCCATGATAAAGTTCACAATCTGAATAAAAGGACCATCTGGGAAGGGAGGGAGACACGAAGCCAGAAGCAGGAGAGGAAGCAAGCCTGTATGTATGGAAGGCAGGGAGAAACAGAGCAAACCCTCTGTTCCCCACCCTCAGCTTGCCTTGGACACAATTGGGAGACAGGGCTGAAGCAGGGCCTTTGGCACGCCTCTTCCCCTTCAATCTGGATGCTAAAAATGACCAGGCACTTAGTTGGGAAAATGTGGGTTTGATGTGATTGCCTCCCCTGACCTCCAATCATGCCACCTATGGTAACCTTGTTATATGTCACCTTATATCATAAACAAATGCAATTCCAATAGGGCAGCAGATTTAACGCCATTAGCTTGTCTTTATGTCTGCTCTTTTCCAGACCTCATTGCAAATGCAGGTTTGATGCCATTGATGAGAGAGCTGGGATTACAAATCCTGACCATTTTAACAGACGTTTGGGAAGGGAAACAGAAGAAGAATAATTTTGAGGTATCTCCAATAACCAAAGGAAGGGAGGGGGAGCTAATAAAAAATATATTTTCAGTTATTTGGATGAACTAAAGCTTGGGTTGAAATGTCAATTGCTCCCCCTTGGTTAGCACATGAAACTTGAACTCCTGGCCTTGCAAATTGGGTCTTGAATTAAGCCCAAGCCACCATTTCTAACTTTATTGGCAACCATTTCTAACCATGTATCCTAAGCTACAGCTTCCCTAAACAAACCCAGTGAGCATGTCTCTGCTGCCACTTGCCCCTTCCTCTGAATGCTTCCTTGGCTGGAAATCTCACCTGTACTGGACCCTTCTTCACTTCCACACCAGGAGTGCCAGGGACTGCCCTCCCTTCTCTACCTCAAAAGCCAAAGTCAGGAGCATCTTCTAAGGAACTTAAAAGTTCAGATGACCTCATCCACTTTGCTGTGCCACCAGCCACCCAAAGCCAAGGATCCTTCCTTCCCCACCCATCCTTGGCAAGCCCTGCGTGACCAAATCCACAGTTTTCCCAACAGTCCGATCCAATGAACTTTTGCCAATTAAGGGATTAAGATGGAAGTAGAACTATATTTTATCACAATAGAGCATCACCAGATATCAAAAATTCATTTTACCACAAATTATAAAACACCAGCCACTACCCTTCCTTTTCTATCATCAACTGCTATTAAATACAGACTTTAAAGTGGCAGATTAATCATCTGGGCTAATAGCACACAGGCATAGATCAAGGAGGACTTGATGTGAACTAGATCTCCAAGGACACCCTCACCTTAGGTAATGAGGAAGTTCAGTGGCAACGCACATTGTATCTGGCAATAGCAAACATAATATTTTCCTGATTGTTTATTGTTAGTTGTCCCTTCTCATTCGAAAAGGTAACTTCCAAATATTTGTTTATCAGTAGTATCGGCAAGATGCGAAACCACAACGTCATCAGTGAGCCACTGTGCGTAGTCTTGTATGTGTCTTCAACTGGCCTCTCAGCACTAAATCTGGCCTGTGCCTTTATCGCTGGCTCCTACTCTGCCTTCAGGGTACATCTGCTTCATTTTCCCTCCATTTATTCTCACAATTATGATCGTTTGGTCCAGTAATTTGCAATTCCTTTTATCTTCTTCGAGGACTAGCTCTCTCCAGAACCCAACGCTACTTATCAGAACATCTTTGGGGGCTGGGAGCAGGGTACCAGAGACACACTCTTCTCTCTCTCTCTCTCTCTCTCTCTCTCTCTCTCTCTCTCTCTCTCTCTCTCAGATGGGAAGAGCTTTCCTTTCATTGTCACTCATCCCCTCTTTTTTTCTGGATTAGGTCTTGCCTCTTTTATAAAGACCCAGAGGGAAATGGGATTATTAAGGGTCTTGCAGGGTAAAAGCTATTTTGTCTTTCTGATGACTTTTTTTTTTTACTTAAGTTATTGAAGGGACTTAAAGCTCGAGAATAAGTTATTACAAATTTGAAACAGTGCCTTAAACACAGCATTCCCTGCTGAGCACACTTCCAGTCAGGAAGGATGATGGAAGGGGTGGGGATGCGGGATAGAATGAAAAAAAGACAGATCTGAAGGGGTAGGAGTGAAAGCAAGAACATGGAAAATAGAATACGGAAGTGAAAGGATGCAAAGAGAAGACGACCCTTTGTGGAGATGAAATCCAGCAGGAGCGACTGGCCTGTGAAGAACTTTGTGAACGAGAGAAACTGGTGCTTACAACACACACACACACACACACACACACACACACACACACACACACACACGAGGGTCAGTGAGGGAGCAGCTGAGAATGAATAAATCTCACAAAAGTGAAATACCCCCCCACCCCCGAGTTGTTGGAGAGTGCTGTGTGTGAGCATGAGATGGCTAACCCCACTGTAGCTGTCTCCAAGACTGACGGCAGAACAGGCTCATCAAGCATCCGTCCTATGTGTACCGTTCATGCGGTACAGCATCCTGGGTAGGCAACACACCCTTCACAGATAAGGAAACTGAGGCAAAAACCAATTAAGTGCTCTAGTGGCAAAGAGCACTTAAAATACAGTGCCAGCCCCCAATTATTGAGAAGCTAAGTGATCCAACACCAGCGCTCTCAAACTCCAGTGACACTTATTGGTGGCATTTAGGGAAAGATAAATGTTGTGCCCCAGTCAATACCCCTTTTTTTCTGCCCATGCCAGTAACCAGCCAGTGTGAACAATGAGGGATGTGTTCAAGACTGGGCGTGAGCGGGCTGGAAGCACTTAGCACCTTCTCCCTTGCCTGCATACGCACAGGCTCCTGGCTCCCTGTTTGGCCAGCACTCTTTCCTGTATTCTGGAAGTCCTCCCACGGGAGAGAGGGTGGTAGGACGCTCAGGTCTGGTGGTCACGTTTCATAACATCACAGACTTCTTCTAATTTTTTTTGTAAACACTCATTCCTCCCCTTTATTCTGCAGCCTGTGCGTCTCTGTCCCAACTGCCACGTTGTTATTGTTCTACTGGAGAGAAACAGCATTTTCAGAAATGGGGGATTTATTTTTATAGCACAGCTGGTCTGCCAAAGGTCACATAATTTGGCAATGTTCCCAGTGGTTAAAAATTAATTTCTCCTTATTAATACAACCAAGGTCCCATAGGATAAGGGCTCAGTCTTATCTAAACTTGACAGCTTCCTAAACCTTTAGAAGCTTTCTCCTGGGCCAGCCACAGGACAAGGCCAGCGTGTCCTGGAATCCAACTCCACTACACCTTGCTTGGGAATGAAACCATTAAACGCTGGGCCCTTTCTCTACACGACAGATAGTCTTGGGAAATGCGGTAGGAACTCAGAGTTGGGGGAGAAAGAGGGCATGGAACACACACAACTTTTGTAGTGTCTTCCAGAAATGGGTTAGTTATCTTTTTCAAAAGCTAGCAGTAAGCAAGTCCTTTCCTGGAAGGAACAGGACAATGGCTAACTCCTGGGGCTCAGAAAACACATCTGTCACTCAAGGTAGATACCTCATCCGGCAAATGATAGCCCAATGAGAAAATACCTCAGATATGTTCATGCCACTATGAACTCCTGCTCCGAGGTCACTCTTTAGTACTCCTTTGTTCAATGGATTTCAAATGTGTTATGCTTGTCAAAAGAAAAAAAAATAACAGTAAATTTGATTCTGGGTAAACTGGCTTTTCTATTTGATTCACAATCTTGCAATTTGCCTTTCTATAGAAGGAGCAAGGCCCCTATCAGAAGAGGGGGTGGAGTGTTTTATAGAAGAGGCCAGAGGAAACGAGGACTGGCCAGGTTACTTTCCTTACCTGCTTGAGGCAAAGGGGACTCAAATTCCACTGTTCAGATAACAAAGCCACCTTCTCCTTGGTGGCTGTGACTCGGCCCCATCCATTTAATGTCACATGCTTTGTGCTTTCTGCACAGCAAACTCCCACCTCTGTATCTTTCCAGACTGGATCTTTGGGGTACATGTTCTGAAAACCATCACTAAGCCTGGCTCTGGAATCGTCCCTCACTTGGTCGGTTCACTCTTTTAATTGCTTTAATGAAGAGTTGAATGAGATGAAAAACATCTGGGACCTTGGTTTCTTCCCCCCCCCCCCCGCTGCCTCCCCCTCCCCAGTTACTGCTGCTTGCCTTCATGCCTCATTGCCTAGGAATTGGTCTTTGCACTCTTCCCCTAGATCTATAAGAAGCAGAAGAGTACCCACTATCCACTGAATAGCAGGGGCTGGAGCCATTTGGTAGGCAACAGGGGCCCTTTCCGGAGAGCCCAGTCTCCAGTCCCGACAGCTTTCCAATCTCACACTTTGCCATGAATGCTTTGAGGGCTCCATGGGCTGACATAAAACCTCACACCGGAGGTGCTGCTGGGCCTTCACTATATTCTACCTGGTGCATCCTGGACAAGTAAGGGCCTGCCTTGAAGCCCCGTGGGGCGCTCTCCTCGGGTTTATACCGTGTACTCAGTTGGCAACTGGTTACAGCCTCACCACCTCCAGTGCTTGCTTCTGGGGAAAAGGTGACTGGGCACTTACTCAATGAGGGCAGGAGACCGTCCCCAGGGCTCGGAGTAGGCTGTCTGTTAGTAATCCGGGAGTTTACTATTTACTTGTAAATGATTCTATCCATCCGCGGCTATGGAACATTCTGGGGGAGACAGTCTAAAAACACGCATCAAACCCCGCACCAAGCCCTTGGACTATCACTGCTTTTCTTAGAGGATTTATTTGAACTCGGACCTGTCTCCCACAGCCAATTTACACCTCTTATCTGATCACTCAGCTCAGACTGAAGGTTGAATTGACCTAGTCAGCCCGTGTCCATGGCAATGGTGTTAAAGGCCATCACAGATCAAAGATCTCCTGGAGTAAGAAGGAAGGGGGGAGATAGTTATGGGGTCTGGCTTCTTTTGGCCCCAAGCCATGGGTCTCGTGGAGCTGGGGGAGGGGGGCGGCGTAGTCGGGGAGTTGCCACCTTCTGAAGAACCCAAAGCAGAGACCGAGCCATTTCCTGGTAGAATTAAAGCCCCAGCGGATCCATTCAACCACAGCAATTTCGTGGAGCAGAGCTGCTGGGGAATGGCTAGCGCCAGGGGGCTCTCCTCTCTGTTAGAAACTGAAGAGGAAAGGAGGCAGAGGGAGCGAGCCAAGCTGGCAGTCCACGCCAATAAACCCTGCGTCCACTTCCTTCCCCCTTCCAGAAGAAATTTAGCCAGAGCCGCAGAAGCTGCGGCAAGAGTGGGAGGATCGGTTAAGCGATCTGGAAAGCAGATTCCAGTGCCCTGAGACCCGGAGATTCCCAGAGTGTCGCCTAATCCTCCGCCTCCTCACACACGCAACGCCCACCTTAGGACAGTCTTGACTTGTATCCTCCACTCTGATGCTGCCTAGGTGCTGTGGGACTTACTAGGGACGCAGTCAGTACGAGGCGAAGGGTGGGGGCAGCCGTTTAATCATAACGCGCCTCGCCTCCATTAACTTGTGTCGATATTAAAAAGAAATCAATCAGGGAAACTAAAGCATCGGTCGTGAACACCGTTTTTTTCCCCACGTGTACACGGGCAGCCAGGAAGGGGGGGGGGGGGGGGGACACAATTCACCAGCAGGCGACTGCAGTGCCTGTTCTGGAGGACAGCCGCAGCCACGACCTAACTTTCTGGCACTGGGCAGCATCAGGGAAATGCCGCAGGCTCCTACCCGGGGGTATCCTTAGTCTGGAGGAGAAGGGGACCGGCCTTGGTTCTGCTTTTGCTGGAAATAGAATGTTTATGGATTATTCAGCTTTGTTTCTGCTGCGTAGCCCAAACAAATCGATGCGGCGGTAGGGACGGCTCTGGGGGATGGGGGGTGTGTGTGGGAGCGCTGGGGGGGGGGGCGCCCACGTCTCGGCCACGTGGATGCCCGCGCCGCGTGTTCTTCACCTGTTCGTGTGTTCAGGCGGGCGCTAGCCGCACTGTGCTCCCGCAGGCTGTGCGAGTTGCGCGCATTCCTGCGGCTTAGGCTGCCTTGCTGCTTCCCGCTCTCTCCGCCCTCGGTGCTGCAATCCCACCCCGGCTTCCTGCCGCCCCGCCTGGCTAGCGCGGGGACCTTTCGGCCTCAGACCCTCAGCTTCTACAAGACAGCTCTCCAAGGGCTGCGGCCAGCTTGCAGCGCCTAGTGCAGCGTGGGGGGCAGGAGGGGGCGCACCGAACCGGCCCAGCCCAGCTCCACAGAGTTCGCCGGCCCAGCCCAGCTCCCCAGAGTTCGCCGGCTCCGAGCGGGCTGGAGGCTACGCGTCTGGGAGCCGGGTGCACGGTACCCACTTCGCCTTCCAGCTGCCAGGGACTGCCCGGGTATTTGCTCAGTTGCCCCCACGTGTGCCCGCCACCTTCTTCCCTGACTTCCTTCTCGGAATAGGTTCCCGCTGCCGCCGTAGTGCCGGGACCAACCCACCTCCTGGCGGGCGCACATAGGGTGAGTCAGAGGTCTAGTTTGGCCTCGCCCTTGGCCACCCGGGCTAGGTCTCCGGGTACCAGTCAGTTGCTCGATTGATACTGTGACCGGTGATCGATCACCTTTTCGGGGAGCGGGATAATAACTACTCTGGGCGGATCCCATCCCGGGTCCGAGGCTGCCCACGGTCTTCTAGTGAGTGACCTGCTTCGCTGGAAGTGACGCAGCGAGACCAGGGATTGGGATTGGAGGGGGGCTCTGCAGAGAGCGCGGGAGGCAGGTGGCAGAGCAGGAGTGGGTCCGAGCTGGTATTGTACACACACATGTACACATGCTCCATGCTGCGCTCAGGGACAGATGTGCGAACATCTGGGATAGGAGATGGTCCCCGAGTCCTCACAACCCCTTCCGCTCTGCACATTACGGGGAACCCGAAGTTGTCCGTATGGTGTGTGTGCCAGTGAGTGCCCACTCGCACACCCGGGCCTACCGGAGTCCGATTCTGAATACATAATATACCTTGGGCATTCTCAAGGAGCGCGCGCGTGCGCGCATGTGTGTGCGCGAGCACACACACATACACAGCAAACCACACACATACATAATTTACGCAGCATTCAGGTCCGTGGGAGGTAATTTAATTTCAATTCAAGCTGAGAATTCAGAATTAAGGCAAGACCAAATGTGAGGCCCAGAAATTTCCCCCAGGACGGACCTGCACCCATCCCTTAGCTCATGCCTGTAGAACCAATTACCGCAGGGAAGGAACGGCAAAGGCTTGGATTTGAGTCTCAAAGGCAGCCCCCAAAACAAACAAACCTAAAAGATAGCAAAAATAAAACCCACATATCTCCCACATAAGTGGTTGTAGGTGTGTGTTGGGGAAGGGACGAGAAGACTGGTAAAGCATTTAGCTTTCTCCTCAGGACCGGCTAAGCACGGCGCAGGATTGCGGGGTGGCTGTGGGGAGTGAGTCCCGTCACTGCGGCTGGTTGTCACTTCCCAAGCGCCTCGAGGAAAAAACACTTCTCCAAGTGTCTTTGCCTTTCCTCCTTCCTCCTCTCATCGTTTCCCTGTAGATAGAATCCCACCCACAGTCACCTGTAGCCGCGATTGCTAAGAGTTTTGTCAGTTCCTGATACTGTCTCGGAGCAGAGAAAGGCATCCCCCACCCCATCCCCGGAGCAATTTCAGGGAGGAAGAACCGCATTCCCTGAGACCAGAGACCTGTTTTCAAGGAGGTATCCCTTGTCGCACTCCACAAAAGCCGGCCCTGGACTATCCTAGGCCCCACCGTGCTTATCTCTGCAGCCTGTGTCCACACACCCTTTTTGGCAGTGCTTGGGAACAAATTCCACTCAAAAGTTTCTAACCACTTCACAAGAAGGAGAGACCTTCCTTCCAGGGCATGCAGTTTCTTTCTTTTTTTAGTAAATTTTTTAAAGAACATGATTTGCTTTCCCGGAAAACACATGGATTCCAGAGAGAGTGGGGACCACCAACTGCCCACAGGAAAGCCCCATCTTAGCTGTAAGCTAACTTCAGTCTTCTGATTCCGAGAGGTACCCACCCATCCTGAAAAGAATCCACACATCTGAAAACCAAAGCTAGACTCAGGCTTTCCCTCCAGGCCCTTCAGCCAACATTGCTCAATGTAGCTAAGTGGAGGGAATGTAATGATTTATGTTTCACTGTCTAGGTTGAAGAAACTCAAGGGAGATGTGTTCTGCTTCAAGACAGGAAAAAAAAATCCCCAAAACTGTAATGCAAAGGCTTTGTAGTATTTTTAAACCTTTGATTCAGTCCATATGTGACATCTGAACACCGCCAAATTCTGTTACAAAACACACACACACACACACACACACACACTCTCTCTCTCTCTCTCCTAGCAAGAGAGAAAAGTTGGGCTTCGCAGCCCTGGTGGTGTAAAGATCTCCCTTTAAATTATTGAGCATTGAGGGAGCCTCCTCCAGAGCGGTTTTGCGTGGCTTCTCTGCATTACCAGTGGCCTTTAAAGGGGAACCACATAAAAATATAGAAAAAAACTTTGAAGGGCTTACCTGGTTGACTTCTCACGTTGTGTCCTGAAAAGTACAGAGCTAAGAAAACCCAGGTAAGAGGGAGCATATCCATTTTTTGAGAGAGAGGCTTTCTCCGTGGCCAGGTTTGTGGAATCTCGTATAATTATGTCTTTGTGTTTTTCCTCTCTCTAATTTTCTTCCTTGTGGTGTCTTCTGCAAAGGTCTCTAATGATCAGCGTTTCCCTCCTTGGTCCTGGTGGCCAGTCTGTCTTCACCTTAATTCTTGCTGGAATCCCCACCTCACTGGGTGATAGCTCCCGAAATCAGCAAAGAAGGAGCAAGCTGGGGGAAGCGGGGACCGGTTTCCTCTTCAAACCCAGAAGCCTGTATGTTCTCTCCAGTTCCTCAAAGTGTCATTTCCTTTATCCTACAACATCACGAGGGTTTCCCGAAAGCCAAGCGTAAGATAGTAATAATAATAAAAATGAAAGCCAAGACTTGCCCTGTGCATTACACGGCCCCTAGGCAGCTGTGTGATCTCAGTGGCGCAAACTGACACAGGTCCCCCCAGCAACCGGGACACACACGCGGGCAGAGACACCGACCACTGGACAGGCGGAGTGGTAGGCAGCTAGCCTCCCGGCTCTTGTCCTCGCCCGGTTCTCTTAGCGGGAGCCACCCCAGGCAGCTACACCCGCTTGGCCAGTCTCTCGAGGGGAGTGCGAGGCAGGAAGCGGCGGCGGCCGGTGCTGCTGGTGCTGCTGCGGGTGCGGCGGCGGCTGGGATCGCCCGCGAGTGTGCGCGCGGCTCTCCGAGTTCGCTGGCGCCCGCCCTCACCTCCACCTCACCCAGCGGCTGGCCGAGTGTCTGCTCTTCTGAGGATGTGCCGGGGGCGGGCTGCGGGCTGATGCCTCGCTCGCCTCCTCTGCCTCCACTCTTGGTCCCCCCCTCGCCTTTTCAGGCCGAGCAGCATGTGGATGTCAGAGCCGCGGCAGAGCGATCCGATTACGCGCCGGCTCAGGGCCCGCCCCTTCTGTGTTCCTGATTAAAGAGGCAGCGGCGGAGGCGCGCGGCGCAGAGCCGAGGGCCGCGGCACCCAGATCGGGCGGGGCGGCGGTGGCTCACAACCCCGTGGCCGCGCGATCAAAGTTAAGGTGCCTCGCACACCGCTGCACCTCTCCCACCCCGCACCTCCTCCCCGCCCCGCGCACCTCTGTGCAGGGCTGCGGGTGTGTCACACCCCGAGGAAGGAGCGCCCTCCCTTCAGGGCGAGCTACCCCTGCCGGGTGGGAAACTCCGCAGAGCCCAGGAAATGTTTGTTCCTCCTAAATTCCTAAACTCTGATGCCACACACACGCAGGATTCAACACAGTGCCACCTGCATTGGCGTTACAGGAGGAGTTTGGATGGCGGACTGTGTTTGGGGTATGGAATCAGTTCGTGGCTCAGCCTTGTGGTCCCAGAGGCAGCAGTGCGTGGAGGCGACACACACTGTCAGCCCCAGCTGAAGCAAACACCAAACACTCCTGTGTTTACTACTCAGACCCTTTGTTGTGTCGCAAGCAGACTCCTTTGCTACCTGGGTAAGGATTTACTTACCCCTGCGCCCTTAACTTGTAGTTATCTTAAGATGAGGAACGATTTTATTCAATAAAAATTTTCTCCAAGCAATAAAATTGTTCCCCCCAACACACCTCCAAGCTTCAGCACATAGTACAGGTGGATGAAGGCCTCTGGAAATGCCACTGTAACTACTTCTGCTCATATTTCCCCAAGGAAATGTGGTCACCGTGTTGACAGAAAGAAAATGGCATTATGGTAACTATTTTTAAGTGGAGGCATGAAAACTGTCTAAACGTGTGCTTGTAAGCTAACAGTTGGGGGAAACACTCACATCTATATTTCTAAGGGTGGTTTGGTGTTCCCCAACTGTTACCCTCACCAGGCACACCTGGCTAACATTGCCATCCCTTCCCTAGTAGCCTGCAGATCAAGAAATATAAAGTCTGGGTGTCGAGGAACACACACACCTAACTATACCATTTTCTCCCTGGCTTGCACTTGAGGATTCTTCTGGGTGGTTTCTTTCCTTAGCAGGACTTGCCATTAGCTTTGTTGATCACATCCAGGTAGCTCTCACTTCACTCTTATTTACGTGGAGATAAACCCACACAAAACCGAGTCAGAAGTGATTCACCACTAGTTGAGTGATGCCATAGAGGGGAATTTCCAGTGGGAGTCCACAGGCTGAGTGTCACAGGGCAGTAATCTTAGATACCTGAACACAAAGGCAGGTGTCAGAGGCCCCCTGAGTTCTGCCAGAGAGCAACACACACACACACACACACACACACACACACACACACACACACACCTTTTGATTCCCTTTTTCTCCCTTTCCCTGTTTGCTTTTCTAGGTTTACGAGGAAAATCCGTATCACTAAAAGCTCCAGATCTACTTTCCTGGTTTAAAGTCCAATTGTAAAGGACGACTCCTAGTCCCAATTATTTGTTGAAGAGGGAGGGAATCCTGGATTTTGGACCTCAAACACAGATCCCAGTTTGAGCTGCTGCCAAAATTCTAATCTAAGGACAAATAACGCTATCTGCACTCAGAGGGCCTGCAAGGAAAGAGTTACTTAGTGTCACGGCAGGCACTGCTCTCCAGATATACCAAACCAGTCCAGCCCCGACTGGAGGGTTTCTAAGTACACGACAAAGAGGGTTTAGGTAAGGGGAATGGACAAAACGGGAAAGAAAGAAAACCAAAGTGCGTTGGGAAACCGTCAGGACGACAGCCCTGGACTGCTTGTCTTGGGCCCTCAGGCTTGAGGACCCCCATCTGGCTACTTCCAGGGTTCTCCAGGCTTCTGGGAAAAGTCAGAGTAATTTTAAGTGCTCCATTCCAGGATCATGTTTCCGTCATTAAGAAGCTTCGTTTTTTTTTTTCAGAGGTGTCCTAAAGGGGGCGCTAAGTTGCTTTCTGGGAGCCTCCGTGTGTCTTCAAGTAAGACCTCACTGCAGCCCTCTGGATTGAAGGCCTCATTTTCTGCAGATGGCCTCAGGGAGAAAGCCTTGGTTCCCCGCCCTGGGGACTCCAAGTGGCCAGGCCTTAACAATCCTCTAGGGGGCAGCACTCAATAAATAATGCCCATGCCACCAAAGGCCTCTACACGTGGTGATGAGCTCCTGCCCTTTCAAAGGGCTTCGGCAGAGCGGGGAAAGTTCAAGAATCAGGCTGCTCTCCTCTGGCCCACTCTGAGCAACATCTCAATGGTCTCTGGACGGCTTAGAACTGCTTTCGCTTAGGATTCCGGAGCAGAAACAACGTGGCTGTGGCTGGCTGGGGCCTATCTACACTGCTTTTATCTAGGGTGGAATCTCTGCTGCCTTTAACCAGAGGTGGTTGAAGAACAGGGTTCCAGAGTTCTCCCTGTGCATCCGAATCCCCGACTCTAGATTACAAAAAGTCCTGGATAGTTTTGTAAACAGAAACACAGAACTGGGCCCAATCAGCTAACAGTGAAGCTCGGATTCCTCACCACGACTTTCACTCACCTGGGACGCTCATATGATTTTTTTTAATTGTGGAAAATAATAGAGAGCCATACTATACATTCCTTTGGTGGAGAGGGTGGGTTGGGGGAACACAAAATTTAAGGATGATGCTAAAGAAAGCTGCCATTGGCCGTCCCTTGTGGGACATTAGGGGATTTCCAGCCATACAGTCCCAAACTGCGGGGCATCAGACTCACAGAAGGCAGGTGTTAAAAATTCAGGTCCTTGGACATCAGATTCCTGCAGCTTGGATTCCCTTAGTCTGGAAGGATTTCTGGGCATCCAGAATTTTTTTTCCCCACACACATTTTAGGTGATTCTGTTGCCAAGACCCATAGGCCAAGTGAGCAATAATTCTGAAATATGACATTTACTGAACAGCCTTCAATATACCCTCTATTGAAGGATATTTGGAGAATTATTCCCTCACACTTCCTCTTTGAACACTTTTCAGATGGGGTCTGATGTTTCAGATTTCTGGAGAGTCCCACCAAGAACATATCCACTAAAGGGCTCGAATGGCAGGGATGTTCTGGCTTTTCTTGTGACTTTGAGAAGCCGTGGGTCTAGACTACTCTGGAACCACTTGAAAGTTGACCTGGGGTAGGGGAGGGCCCGTCAGTGGGGTCTGTGGCACTGAATTCAGCTCTTTCACCACACAGCCCTTGGTTGCTGCTAGCTGCCTCTCAGGTACGGTTTTCGGTTTGGGTTCATCAGATCGTATTAACTGTTCAGAGATGTGTGACGATGCAGGGGGCATGAAACCAGACAGGCATGGCGTTCTGCCTCCTGGGAACGCGGCATCTAAAGGCTCCAGAAGTTTCATGCTTCCACAATAGACACCACCTGTCACATGGTGCTCCCTTATTGGAGCCCTCATATCGACAAGCTCTCACCCTGGAAGGGGGAGATAGGAGGCATAATTGCATCTTAATCTGTAATTTACTGCTCTGTCCCAGTTAATGTTTAGCTGCAGCTGTCCCAGAAGCAAACCTTTGGTTAAAATGTAATAGATGCTCATTTTGTATTCTCTCTCTTGTTTAACGTTGAACTCTGGGTTCTGATCGATAGGAGCCCGCCCCACCCCCACCCCCACCCCCACGCTCAAAACACTTACTTGGAAAACAATCATTTGTGTTTCTTAACATTCTTGAGCACCACCAAGATGTTTCTTTTTCGATACTGTATTTGGTGAGTTCCCGGAATCCTTGCAGGTTTTCATGAAGTACTGAAATCTCCTCTATTCCTAATTGCTGTGTTTTTGTATCTTGGGTCTTCTTCAGTCTTAGACCTAAATCTGATAGGAGGGAACTTTGTAAATGAAAACAAGAACAAGAAAGCGACAACAAAATGTATCCCAATATCCCTTGGCAAACCGAGTTCCTGAAGCCAGTCTGCTTCCTCCCCTCTCCTTAGCTTCCTCAAAATGCAAGGTTCCCTCTGCTGTGATAATTTATGTACATTTGGAGCTATGGAACATCAAAAAGACCCAGCCCACCAACCCCGTCCTTTAAAGGAGGATTTTTCCAAAGCAACTCCCCACCGTAATGGAGAACCCACGCTTTTCATCTGTGTTGTGTAATGGTTCCCTCTGAGATCAAAACGTGCTGGCCAGGAAGTTCTTTAAACCAGGAGGGAACAACTCAAAACAGCTTCCGGAAGCCCCTGAAACTGACCAGATTTGCTAGGACCCTCCCTGCCAGAGTAAACAACCCTGAGAGAGGCCTTCTAAGACAGCAGGAAGCTGAGCTGCTGTGAAGACTCCAAAATCAGACAGTGTTCCTGGAAGAGGTTTAGGCCAGAGCCACTTGGAAAGGCCCCTCGCCAACCTGTTGAACAGCCTGCAGGCTGCACAGTGAGCTCCGGATTCCCAGCTTTGTGAGCTGTCACATGCTGGAGTGAGCTTTGGTGCTACAGCTGTCTTTGAGTCATTTCTGGTCCTGTAATAACCCCTCACCAATACTCCCATAAGAGAAGCTGCTAAAACTCGTTGGTTAACCAAGATGAACTTGGTTGGTGTCCTTACTTTATATCCTGTGGGGTCCCTGTCTGGGGTGAGTATACCTGTGTATTGCCTCTTTCCAGGATAAGTTTTGTCACACACTATTCGGCTCTTCTGTATATGAACTGTAGCTGGTATGACCAAGGGACTAGGTCAATCGAAGGTTGTGTTTCATCCAGCTAATCTACATTTGATTTGTGTTTACCACCTACCGTGTGGACAGAGCAGCCTTTGATGGGGAGCTGGGCATTTGCCATGGGGAATCTCAGCACCTGTGGAAGTTTAGGCTGCCAAGGCATGGTTTGAAAATGCAGGGAGGGGTCTGTTTAACCAGAGAAGGCCCAGCTCATATTATCTAATATGTGCTTTTGTTCAGCTTTCTTAGATGGGTTTTCTAGAACATTCTTAGAAAATTAGGGTTATTCCAGTACTCTGTGACTTCCTCACTGGAACGCCAGCTCATGAAGACA